GCAAATTGACACACACCAGGAAATGGGTACCCTCCACCCCACCTCCCCCACCTCTTTACAAGAAAGAGTGGAGGGTGACTTTACAGCTCAGGAATCTAGTGAAATAAATTTATGGTTAGAAAAACTTCATGTTTTTAATGTGATGAAGGCCCTTTAACTTTTAACACGATTCTCTGGTTAAGCTGAGCAGGACTCGAACGGAAATGGCTGTCTACAGCTGCCGCAAATTGATTTATCCCCAGATGATAGGCGGACTGCAGACAGAACTGTTGGGAAGGAGAGCCCTTTCATTTCAGCATTTGCGGCTGTCTGTGTCCTGTTTGTGTCCACCCTGCTGCCAGGATTTGTCTGGCCTACTGTCCAGGGGGATTTCCTGGGGCCTACTGTCCCCGGCAGACAGGGCCATTCAACTGCACTATAAGAAAGGACATACATTGCCCATAATACCTTTCACATCACAGGGTTGAGGGGCTCATCTCTGAATTCCTTTTCAGCCATCTTCAGAATTCTCCAGAGTAAAGCGAGTCCTGTGAGAACTGGCCAAGCGGTGTGTAGAAAAGTATGTTTCGAGGATTAGTTGGAATCATTTGGTTAAACTTTGTGCCTCGGACTTTCAATCCTAGAATGGAAAGCTTACCAACAACCCCCACGTTGTCTTTGCTACTCTGGGGCTTTCCCATCCATCTTAGCCCAGAGAGCTGAGCGAGATGCCGGTAACAGACATGTACCTTCCTATGGAAGTTCCACATCACCTACTGTGCACACACACTGGGGAGGATATGTGGTCCGTGTCCATTTTGAATTCACAGTTGATTGGGAGAGCTGGGAAGCAGATTCAGGAGGGTAGCACAGAAAATTGCCAGTCATGGTTTGCACAGTGAAAGGAAAATCATGAGAATTTGGAGGTCCTTGGAGGGCAATGGAGATGTGGAAGCAGTTAGGTCTGAGCTGTCTGGTAAGTATTGAGAGCATCTCAGCTTCACTGGGGCCAAAGAGTGCCTAGGGGAAGGAGATGAACTCTGGAGCTATCAGCAAACACTGAAGCCTGTCTCTTGCTCAGATATCCATGGTCAGTGGTGGCCCACTGGGTCCTTGTTTGTCTCTGCTTCTATGGCTGGGCCCTGTGATATGAGTGCTCATATACTGGCCCATCCATTTCCCCCCCCCCCAGGACCTGCCTATCATGATGCTGTCCTCCCTCTTTCTTGGTTTCTGAATTTATGGTCCAGGTAAGACTCCCACTTTCCTATCTATGCCCAGTTGCCCAAGCTCCTTCCTTGTCCCTAGTGGGGTTAGTGACCCACATTCTTATAGCTTCAAACTTGGGTATTTAAGTTTAGCTTTTAAATATTGTGCAATTGGGGATGAGGGACAGAAAAGTGTAAAATATTTTCATCTTATAACTGAATATTTGGGGTCTAGAGAAGATGGCTTATTGGTCAAGAGAACTCTTCCCTGCTCAGCACCCATGTGACAACTCACAACCATCTGTAACTATAGTCTCAAGAGATCTGATACCATCTTCTGACATCCATGGGCATTGCATGCATGTGGGGCAGAGACATACATGCAGGAAAAACACCTACGCACTGAAACAAATCTTAAAAATATAACCAAAGTTTAGGAAATTTTGCTTCTACTAAAGTTAAAGACTTAAAAATTAACATGAAAGTCCCCCCCCCGCCCCCAGTCATAGACCAACAAGAATGATGCCTAGAACTGGCACAGAGAGATGGGTCAGTGGTTAGGGACTCTTGTTGCACAAGTAGAGGTTCAGAATTTAGTTCCAAGCACTCACATTGGGTGGCTCACTGTAACTAGCTATCTGTAACTCCATCTCCAGGGGACCTAACACCTTCTTCTGGCCTCTGTGGGCACTAACATGTACATGTGTGTACAAATGCAGAGACAGACAGACAGGTGGACAGACACACACACACACACACACACACGACCCCCACTTTTCTCTTTTCCCCTTCTCCCTTCTTCCCCATATTTCTTCCACCTAGCAAATTTGAGGGCTTCATTCACCTGCTTGTGATGCTTGCTGGTGCTGGGGATGCCACTGTAACATATGTTTTCCCTCACCTCCATGAAGCACAGCAAACTAGTTCCTGAGACACGGAGACTCCTATTTGTCTGACACCTAGTTGATGTTTGCTTGTGCACAGGGGAGCCCCCGCACTCCCCCCTACATTTCCCCCCCCCCCCGCCCCGCCATGTAACTTTTTTGGAAGTGCAGAGGAAGAAGCCACCCAGCAGTGCAAAAGTCTGGTTTAGAACTCAAGAACTAAATGAGATTTCTGCAGAAGGACAAGAAGGAGAGGACACTGTCAACAAGGAGGCCCTGTGGCTGGTACAGAGGGGCAAGTCTCAGAGTCCTCCTACATGGTCACTCATACAACTTTCCCAAAGCTTTTGAGGGGCCTTCAACCTTCACCAGCCTCTCCTCTGTCTTCTGTTAAGACCTGCTGATGTTACTAGCTAATTGAGTGGAAATTACATTAGTAGCCCCAGTGTGTTACTCTGTGTTTTACAGAGTCTTTGCCCTGAAGGCAGTGTGATCCTAAGGGCAGGGTGACTCTGAGGGAGGGGCTCTAGAGGCCCTGGCCAGGTCACCACTTTACATCTGAGGAATGTCCATTGCTGGCCGGCCATACTTCTGGCATTCTCATGCTCTGTAGGAGGGGTTCTAGAGATTCATCAGTTCACCTACAAAGGTTTGTGAGGCCCTGCCAGAGAGGTGCATTAAACAATCCTACCGTCTTAGAGGAAACAATCACTAACCCAAAAAGGAGGTAAAACTGTCTTGGGATCCCAGAGAAATAATTTTTTCATCTTAGTTTACATAAAAAGGTATCACTGCTGGGGAGATGGCTCAAGAGTAAAGTGCTTAATGTACAAGTGTGAGGACCCAAGTTCAAATTCCCAGCATCCACGAGAAAGCCAGGTATAGTGGTAATGGTGCTGGTGGTAGTCTGGGCAGGGAATATGGCAAGAGAGGAAGTAAAGAGGGCCAGTGGAGGAAAACACACACACACACACACACACACACACACACACACACACACACACACACGGAGAGAGAGAGAGAGAGAGAGAGAGAGAGAGAGAGAGAGAGAGAATGGTAAGAGAAGAAAGAGGGCCAGTAGAGGAAGCCAAACTCTATAACGATCCATTTTTATTCAGTCTTGAGAGAATTAACCCTATCTCTAAAGAGGATCATTAATCTATCATGAGAGAAGGTCCCTCAATTCATGAACCCAAATATATCTGAAGGGCTCCTTTGCCGCATGCAGTTACACTGGGGAATTAGGCCTTGATGTGAATTTTGGCAGGAACAAACCATCTCCTAACCACAGCACATGGCTTCATTTATCTAACCCTACCTCTCTTCTCTTGGACTCAAGAAGAAGGTATGATGCAGGGGACAGGATGTCACTGGAGTCCCAAGGGGACAGCTATAGGAGAAAGCTTTGACTTTGAGGGACGGAGTCAACATTTATAGAGTCAAAATGGGTCAAGTCTTTCCCGAGGCATACGTACCTGTGCATACTTGTGTGTGTGTGCATCTCTCTCTTCTTTCTCTCAGTTTGTGTGAGTACAAGTGTGGCTGCACATGCATTCACTCAGAGAAGGGCAATTTGTTTCTGGCCAGTGCTCATTTGGCTATTCAAACTCACACTGGGACAGGAATCAGAACTTTCTGTGCACCAGGTCCCACGGTCACAGAGATGCCAGTGTGCATTCACAGGCTATTGAAACAGAGGGACACATGCTCCCCTGGTTGCAGAGACTCATCCAGATTTTATTGATATGGGTTCTAATCTGTAGCATCTGCATGGCCTCACTTCCCATGCCCCCTCTTCCCAGAGCCCAAGGGCCTGGAGACTATGCTATACCTGGGATGACTCATCCTTCAACATGGGATCTAGAAACCCCACAGAGCAGATTTTTCCCTTTAAATTTGAAACAAGCTTGTTTTACATGTCAATCCCAGTTTCCTCTCCCTCCCCTCTTCCCTTGTACCCCCAACCCCCAATCCCATCCCCTTTCTGCTCCCTAGGGAGGGTAAGGCCTTCCATGAAGGATCTTGAAAATCTGTCATATCATTTGGAGCAGGCCTTAGGCCCTCCCCCATGTATCTAGGCTGAGAGTATCCCTCTATGTGGAATGGGCTCCCAAAGTCCATCCGTATACTAGTGATAAATACTGACCCACTACCAGAGGCCCCATAGACTTCCCAGTCCTCCTAACTGACACCCACATTCAGGGGTTGGTCCTTTGCTGGTTTCCCAGCTATCAGACTGGGGTTCATGAGGTCCCCCTTGTTCAGGTTGGCAGTTTCTGTGAGTTTCTCCAGCCTGGTCTTGATCCCTTTGCTCATTTCTCCACCCTTTCTGCAACTTCAGGAGTTCGGCTCAGTGTTTAGCTGTGGGTGTCTGCTACTGCTTCCATCAGCTACTGGATGAAGGCTCTAGGATGGCATGTAAGGTAGTTGTCAATCTCATTATCGTGGAAGGGCATTTAAGGTAGCCTGCCCACTATTGCTTAGGTTGTTAGTTGGGGTCATCCTTGTAGATCTCTGGACGTTTCCCCAGTGCCAGATTTCTCTTTAAATCTATAAAGGCTCCCTCTATTAAGGTATATCTTTTGCTCTCCTCTATTCTTCCCCTGACTCAATCTTCCTGCTCCCTCATACCCTCCTTTCCCCTCCTCTTCTCCCCTTCTCTTTCTCCTAACTTCCTCTCCCCTCCCCCATGCTCCCAATTTGCTCAGGAGATCTTGTCCCTTTACCCTTCTCGGGGGACCATGTGTGTCTCTCTTAGGATCCTCCTTGTTTCCTAGCTTCTCTGGAGGTATGGATTGTAGGCTGGTAATACTTTGCTCTATGTCTACAATCCATATATAAGCAAGTACATACCATGTTTGTCTTTTTGTGACTGGTTTACCTCACTCAGGATGGTTTCTTCTAGTTCCATTCATTTGTGAATTTCAAGAAAAATATGGACTGCTTCATGAATTTGCCTGTTATCTTTGTGCAGGGGCCATGCTAATCTCTATATCCTTCCAATTTTAGTATATGTGCTGCTGAAGTGATCACCAGAACAGGCTTTTAACCTCACGCTGCAACACAAAAGCAGCAGCTCCACTACAAAGAGCAAAGGAATAGCAGGCACACAGGTCTCCCATTCTGCAGGTCCTTAGTTGTCGGGTCTCTTTAACGTCCACATATAAGCAAACCTGATGACTATAGTGAAGGTTTAGTGCCTTTCCAGATTCAAGCTGCAATCTGAAGAATATCTCAGCTCATTTTGGGTCTCATGGCACGAACCAACAGCTGCACGAGATATCATATTTTTAGTCACTGTCACTGGTTCTAGCCCCTATGATGACCCCAAGGGCATGGGCTAGGTTTTTTCTGGACTGGCTGAAGACCAAAGGGACCAGAGACAAGGCACACTAGTGAATATCCACTGCACACTGCTCAGGGGAGGTTTAGTATCAGAACAAGTTCATTTCTGAACTTTGAGCCTTCATGGGCTTTGAGACTTCAATTTTGGTGCAGGTTTGAAAATACGAAATATTGCCAAACTGCAACAAGCTTGAACTTGGGCAGTTAAAATGATGACTTTTAAGTGACATAAAAATTTTGCACACAGAGAGTGTACATGGTCCATTTGCACAAATGTAAGCAAGGACGTTCTTAGGAGGAGGCCTTGCTTTGCCTTGCCAAGTTTCATCCTCTTTTGGGAAGGGGCTTTTAAACAGAGTCAACACTTATCATCTGTCCAACCCTGGCCCCTGGCCGCATTGGTGGAATTGTGGGAAATATGATTCCTGGAGAAAGGCCTGTCTAAGTTCATTTCTGGGCATCCCAGTCAAGGTCTCTAGAATAGCTCTGGTGTCTCTTATAGGTAAGAGGAGACTCCCTCTTGCACAGGCCTGGGTCTCCACAAGGGAGCACAGCTGCTCTTTCTCTATCTCCTCTGAGATGCAAAGTGTCTGGGATTTCAAGCAGGCATCATGAGGAGTTAGAAACTGCTTGATGCCTTAAAGGCTGGGCCAGCACGTGGGCACTAGGCTGAAGTTGTATGATGGTTGTATCTGCAGCAAGTCCTGTGTCTGGCAAACAGTTCTTTCGCCACGCTCTTCAAGTAGGCCCCAGCAGGGACAGCTCCAGGTCCTGCTAGCTTGCACCAAACTATGGCTGCCTCTGATCACCACCCGGGCTGCCAGGGCGCCTTTCCATCGGTTAATTAGAAGCCAAGTTGGCAGAGCCCCCCCGCCCGCCACCGCGCGCTCCGCCGGCCAGGGGCGCCCTCCCCGCTGCCCGCCGGCCCTTTGATCGCCAGCGGCCCGAGGCCCGCAGCTCGCAGCCCACACTGTGGCGGGCAGGTGGCGGCAGCAGGGCGCGGCGCGCTCAGGCGCACCAGTCCCCGGGCCGCGGTGTGCTCCCTGCCACGCCACACATCAAGGCCGGGCCGGCCGGCGGGCGCCTTCATTAGCAGCCTGAAATTATAATATTATGTTAAAGAACAAAGCTGCTCCCCAGAAAAATATGTGCTGCATAGCCGACAAAGATAAATTGGATTATTCAAAATATTCTTGATGAAATGTTACATTTTGCAACTAATTATCAATCTGTTTTATCTGTAGACCAGCTGGGCATTTTTGTGCATGCAAGACCGGCCTCCGCAATGATCTTAAGATGTCACTGCGGCGTTTACATCTTTTATTTCAAGGTTTAAATAACTGGGAAGTAGCTAATGTAATTCACTGCTGAGAAGAAAGGCAAGCTTCTTGATTCCTTTCCAAAGCCATCTCTTCCTAATGAACTTCTTTGGACTGTGAGTAATGAGGCTTTATTCAAATAATGCTTGAGGAAGGCTCTGTCAGTGTAATCTTGGGGAACAAAAAAGGAGGGGGGAACCAATGTTTAATACATTTAAAACAACTCTATTCATAGCATATTAGCCCCCACAAGCTCACAACAGCACTTACCAGTGAAGACTCTGGCTTTTGCCCGTGGGAGCTTCAACTTGCAGGCAGGCGTGCCTACTCTTACAGGAAGTGAAGACCATAGGCAGGACTTCTCACACTGATGGGCCGAGAAACAGAGATACTGCATTCACTTTTGTCCCCCCCCCCCCCAGAAAAACTCTGCCTTGTTCTATCTTGGGGATTGTGCCAATGTGGCTTTCTTGATTTGTGGATGTTTTCTAGTTTGAGATAGTTGGAGAATCCGATTCTAGATGGTTCACTTTTTCCTTGGGTACTGGTGGCTAGAAAAAACACTTGGTCTGGTCGTATGTGAACTGCACTAAGTCACCACCTTCCATGTAACAAGTGTATTTTGAGTGACCGTGAGTGATTGTACACTAGCACACAGAAGTGCTAACTGGCCTTCAGTGGCAACTCAGAGACAGAGGGAATCTTCCTGATTTGTGCTTCAGTCTGGGTTTTCAGCCTTCTTTTGTCCAAGCTCAGTGAAGAAGGCAAGGCTAGGCTTCATTCCCACTGTATGGATGAGGAAGCCGAGGGAGAGAAAAGGGATGCTAGGCTGTGCTCAGGGATATCCAGGGAGCCTTGGGGGGAGGCACAGCTGGTACTGACACGTGTTCTGAGTGTCCCACTTAGTAAAGGATGAAAGATGGAGTTGTAACTGCTGGGAGGAACATGTGGGGAACCTGTCACTGTGTGGATTTCCCTTCTCAGCTGAGAGGTCTTCAAAGTGCCTATGAGGGAGCATGCCAAGGAAAATCAACAGCTATTCTCCTACTGAAATGACAGAGCAGGCATCCTTCTTGCTCTCCTAATTGATATCATTGTGACTGCTTTTCCATAAAATTATCCCCAGACAGGTTCTCAGAGCTGTCACCAAGCCATTTGAAATTTTGCGTGAAGCACATCTCTGTGTGTGTTGCCTCTCTGCATGACTTCTTTCTCCTCCTTCTTTGGACTGGTGTTTAAAAAATGTCTTCTGCCTCATTACAGAAGAAAATAACTTCTGACCTATCTCTCTGGCTGGTTTGACCCCTGGGTATTGTTTTTATTTGTTTGTTTGGCAATCCTAGGGTAATGGTCAAATGACAAAAACAAAGGGCTTTAAGAAGTGAGGTTTGGACTTCCTCAAGTCCCTCAGAAAAGACTTTCATTTTTATTTTAAGGTGTCCATTCCTGCTCAAATGTTTCCTTGGTGGACTCTTGGATAACTTGGGCTCTGCTAAGGTCCCTTTTCCTTCTTGGTCTCTTGCTCCCAACAAATAGCTACAAAGTGACCTTTGGGTTGTCCTTATCAGATGCAAAAGTTTCAAAATGCCCGGTGAGGTGGCACAAGCTTGTGATCTCAGCACTTGGGAGGTGAATCAGGAGTTCAAGGTCAGTTCTGGCTACATAGCAAGTTCAGGACCAGCCTGGGTTATGGGAAACCCTGCCTCAAAACAAATAAAAACTGAAACTAAAACAGTCTCCCTGATAATGAGTGGATAAACAATAAATGAATACAGTTCTACAAGAAGGTTATGATCCACAGAAGCAAAATATCAGGTCCTGCTGTGATTTTTTTTCTAGTATCATTTCTAATTAAAAAAAAACTTATATTTTGGAAGCCACACAATTCCTTTTGTTTTCTGTAGTATAAAAGGGTAGATATGGGGACTAGAGAGATGGGTCAGCAGTTAAGAACACTTGCTGCTCTTACAGAAGACTGGGGTTCATTCCCCAGAATTCAGAGTCTGACACCCCCTTCTGGCCTCCTTGAGTACCAACAAACACATGGTATAATACATATGCACAGGCATACACATATATACATAAAGTAAAATAAATAAAAATGAGTCTTAAAAACATAAGGGTGATGATGATGTCTCTGAACATATATGAATTACTTACCTGACTGAACAGTACATGCCACAGGAAAATACTAGGAGTCCCCTGATTCAGTTTGCTATGATATCTATATCCTTGTCCACTCAGAAAACAGCCCTGGCCTGTGTACATAAAGGTCTGGTGGTGTTTCTAGGCCTCAGTGATATTTGGGAGATTCTTTAAATGTCAGAACACAGGGTTGCAGGGGAATAGCCTTTTCTGTAAAGAGCCAGATAGAAGCCAAGCATGGAGACACATACAGCAGCAAGATGATCAGGATGCTGTACATCCTGAGCTGTAGGAGAACAGCCTTGGCTGTATGAGATCCTGTCTTTAAAAAGAAGAAAAGAAAAGAAAGCTCTAAAAGAGCAAGTCCCTTGGGTTCATGGTCTTTACTGTTGCTGCTATCTCAGCTACAACTACTCAATTCAGATGTCGGCAAGAGAGAGTTTCCATCAGCAACATTTGATAAATGAACAAGCCTGTGTTCCTACAAAACTTTATTTATGGACACCGAGATTTGAATTTCATATGTGAAATTTCACGTGTCATGAAATATTAATCTTCTTTTAATTGTTTCAATCATTTACACATGTTGTAAGCATTCTTAGTTTGTGGGCTGTAGAAAAGGAGACAGTTCCCATATTTTCCACTGGACTGTTGTTTACCCATGTGGTTTTTCATGCCATTGTGGGCCATGCCAGCTGCCCTCAATTCTCTCTTGATGCTCTTCTGCAGGGAATGGGTCCCTTCTCTATGAATTCAGGACTTCTTACATAGTGTTAGGCTCCTATGAGTTTTCTCTTACTGTGTTGCCAATTTCCTTGAGTTCTGTAGTTTAAAGCAATTTGCATTCATGCTATTCAGCTGGATTTGGGAACTCAGTACATTTTTCTTTACATCTGCTTAGGATTTGGAAAGGCCAAAATCAAGATGTTGGCAGGGTTGGGCTCTCATCTAGGTGTAGAAGGAGCTTCTGCATCCTCTTGGGTTGTTCTCAGACCTCAGTTCTACACAGGGTGGGGCTGCAGTTCCCTTCCTAATGGCTTTCAGTAGGGGCTGTTCTCAGCTGGCCACAATCTTGTTGCCACCTGTCTCATGTCTTCTAATTCTAGCCAAGGAGAGCTCTCTGTTTTGAGGGGCTGCTCTGATCAGATCAGACCCATCTAGTGTTTCTATACTAAAATCAACTGATCAGTGACCTTGAGTACATCTGTAAAATCTCTCTGCCTG